CAAAGGTTGGAAATGAAGCCATCTGCCTCAAGTCACAGAGCTGTTAAGTCGAAGCGAAACTGCTAAAACCCCCGTATTCTGGTCTGGATGAGAGCTCTTGAGTTATTTAATCTGGGCACAGATTCAAATCCTAGCCCCATTATGAGTGAATCTTATGATTTCAGCAAGCCATTAACCTCTCCACCTCACCTGTCCTATCTGTGAAATGGGAATGATAAAAATGCTTAAGTGGGTTCCCTGGAGGATTGAATTAGGTGATGTTTATCAAAAGTGTTATAAACATGCTAGGAATTTTAAGATCTACTTTGTTAGTGGTAGTAAACGAAAGGCATGGTGATTGTCTTCTGCAGAGTGATTCTAGAAACAGCGAGTGGGATCTAAATCAGAGGTCAGCTAATTTTGGTGGCCCTCTGTTTTTAATAATTAATTAAATAAAGTATTTCAAGTATTACTGGAACTGAGCCACATCCATTCCTTCACGCACTATCTTTTCCTGCTTTCTTTCTCTCACGGTGGAGTAGATTCATTGCAACGGAGACCTGGCCCACAAGGCATAGATAGTTACAAAGAGTCTGCTGACCTCTGGGCGAAATGATCAGCATATCCTGCTTGTGCCCACTCTGCTAGTGGCTTAAAACCATATTGAAAGCTTGCTGTGCCCAGTCTGGTTTCCTCCTTTGACCTCCAGATAAAACCCAGCAGCCTTCTGCATCACTACTTGGGTGTCTCATAGGCATCTCAAGTGCAGCTGGAGTTCGGAAGTGAACTGCCCTCTCTCTGGTCAAGCATGCCGTCCTGTGCTGTTTAACACAGTGACTCGGCATCCCCTAGATCCCCAGATCAGGAATGTGGGGCTCATCCTAGGTGATGTCCTCATCCTCACTTCCCATTTCCCTTCAGACTTAACCTTCTCTTGATTTCATCTTTTAAAATATTTCTGGGCACCAAGCCCACCTCTCCGTCCTGGCTGACCAGGCCCTCAGCTGGACCCTTCCTATCCCCTGACTGCATGAATCCCAACACTTTGCAGTCAAATGCTCTACCACTGAGCTATACCCCCAGGATCCCAACACTTTGGTTTGGACTTGGCTCTGAGCACTATGTCCAAGAGATGGACAGATTATTTTCTGGGTTTTTTTTGTTTTTTTTTTTGTTGGTTGGTTTGTTTTATTTGCGGTTCTCTGATTTAAGGCTCTGTTCCTTCATTCTATTTAAAACTGAAATAGCAACAATAATTCCAAATACATGTATTCTGCTTTCAAAGCTTATAAAGCACTTTCATATTCATGATTTCTGATTCTGGAACAGCCTGGGGAAGGAGCTGTTATTATTAATTATCCACATGCATCCATGTGAGGGACCAGGGTATAAAGGGGTTACATGCTTGCCTAAGGTCACCTGCTTTAAAACCATAATCCAGACCTAAGTCCCCGACTCTGCGCATTTTTTTCTCTCTTTTTAAAAAAGATTTTGTTTTTGTTTTTGTAGATTCTTCCTCCTAAGGCATCTGAAGTTCAGCCTTCTTTTCCCTCGAACACCAGAAATCCATCAGGTAATATTTCCCATGTCTTGGGTTCCCGCTACGAAGATCAGTATTAAAAACATGACAGCGACATATTATTTATGGCAATATCCATTGTTACTAAGGGAGACAGACCAAACAATTCCCCATTGTTACAGATGCTACTTTGACTTGACAGCTGGGCAAGTCTGATAGGCAGTTTATTTACTTAGCCATTTAACCAAATAAATGTTTTCATTTTTCTTTCATCTCCTCAAAAGCTAACATTTCGCCCTTAAAATTGCTCCAGCAACACGTCAGTGGAGTATAAATTACCTGCCATTCCCACACCAGCCATTACAATATTATTTTGGTTCTTTTTTCCTGCCCCTGTTGACCCAGTCTTTCAAAGACACGTGATTCTCCCAGAAGGGAGGGCAGGGGGGAGAAAACAAAATAATTGAAGATATTTCCCTTTATTGCAAAAACAGAAATGCTGTGTGAGATTGGTCCTGAAGCTTCCACCGGTGAAGACGGAGTCTGTTTGTTTCCTCTTGCTGTGGTGCGAGATGGCTTTCACTTATCAATATATATCCCCCCTACCTACTAAGCACTGTGTGGGTATTTCTAATAAAAAGCAGCTGGGATAAAATGCAAGGGTGATAAGAACAAGACTCCTGCTTTCCAGCTGTATGAAGACAAAGGGGAAAAGAGAGCCACGGATGTGGCTTTCCCTCCATGGTATCCCTTCTTCAAATGTCTGGAAAGGTACCAAGGGATTGCAGTCAGGAGATTCCCAGTTGGGTGGATGAGTGAATGTGACAGAGGCGGGAGGGTCAAACTTGGCTTGGGTTGCTAGGGATAGAAGGGCCCAGGGAGGCTCATTTGGACTTCCCTTGGGGTGGATGGGTGGGGGGGTCTTTGGGGATATGTCTGCAAGGTTGGCATCAGCCTGTTGGCATGGGATTCTTGAGAGGAAATCGTGATATTGCTAAGCTAAGTGTTCAAAGGGAGAAAACTGTTTCATTGTAGATTACAGTCCAGCCCTTTTGGGGTGGGAGCTATTGACTGTGACTTATAAGTCAACTGGAGACTGGTCATTTTTTGGAACAGAGAGGTGGTCTGTGAGACCCTCATGGGGATCATTCTGATTAGAGAGCTTAGTTATCAAAATTTTCTTTTCCTACTTCTTTTTCCCTCTGAAACTGTTTTAAGGCATATTGAAAATGACCTCCAGATAAAATCCAGCAGCCTTCTGGCATCTCTACATGGAGATGCCATCTCTATCCGGAGGCATATTGCAAATTAATTATCTGAAGATAGGAAATACAGAGCAAAACCTCCCAGCCAATGGCCTGGGTCCTTATGGTATAATGCATTCCATATCAAGGCAAAATATATAAAATCTAAGGTACTGGGGAACAGGTATCGAGCATGTAGGATGATGACGGTGATGCTAGGGCTGATGACAGCTAAGACCTGTTGGGGGCTTTCTATGTGCCAGATGTTGTGCTCACCTCATTTTGTCCAAACAATAATCCTCTGAGGAGGACACTGTTTTTATCCTTATTTTCAAAAATAAGATAGACAATTACTATGAAATCTCATTAGGGTTTACAATTCTAAACTCAGTTTCCCTCCAGCGCCCAGATTTTTAAGCTGAGTTTGAGCTGAGGGCTGAGTGTCTGTCTCCCTCTTAGAGACTGAATCACTATCTCTGCTAACCTAGCAGATGATATAAGCCTCTTCTAGCAGGTGAAGAAACCAAGACTCAAAAGAAATTATGGTTCTTGCCCAAGATTTCCTAGAAAAATTGGAATTTGGATCCAAGTTCCAGGAAATCCAAGATTTCCTGGGCAAATTGGAATTTGGATCCAAGTTCCAAATTCCGAGCTCTTCTACTGCCCCATGGTCCGTCCATTTACAACTCCGCCACGGGACAGCCTGAGGCCCCAAGAAAGAGTTGGGCTTGTTTGTCTCCAGCTGAACAGGCTCATGAAGACAACTGATACATTGATCTGCAAATGGTGTAAGTCATCTTTGTTTTCTAGAAGAGCTTCAATTTTAGGATGATGTTAGCTGTTATACTGATGAATGGCTCTTGTCACCTCTAGTTCATTCATGAAATTTTTCAAGACAAGGTTGAGCACGTGAAATAAAACATACACAAGGGGTAGAAAACCTCTTGGGGAATCTTTCTAAGGCGTCCACCCATAATCCCCAGCTCTTCTCTTTTCTGGAACATTGACTTTGTCTTTAATTCACCAGCTTCCCAAATAGCTTTGCAAGACAGAATTTTTAGAGGGGTTGTACATGGCTTTGCATGGCGTGATGTGTTATTATATGCTGTTGTACTGATAGAAAACGTGGCAAAATATACAGTATGTTAAGTTCTTTAATCATAAAATCTATTAGCAAAATACACTTTCCAAACACTGTATTAACTTTCAGGAACTGTCAAAATAACTTCCACGTGAACTGAGAATGATTTCGAGGCAGACTCAGAATACATTTGTGAATGGTGAAAACTATTTACCATTTTAATGGCTCTGACCACGCTGTTCAGGACTAAAGAAGGGGAGCTCTGTGGGTAGAGCCTTGCAGTCCTACACATTTATGGAAAACTAGGAAAGTATCTGAAAATTGAACACATTTGTCAAGGAGTGACCTCCGGAATCATGCCTGGGGAACGAGGTGTATTTCTGTCTCCCGAGAAGGTTTGCTTCATCAGCTCCTCTTTCTTTTGATCAAATCAGAGGTATTGAAATTCGAGTGCCAAAAGCCACTTCTAGTGTATGTGAGTACACTTCTTTCAAAGTAGCTGGTGATGGGATCTGAAGTGGTTCGGGGATGAGCCATACGCCACAGCACAGGTGCAAACAGCAGAGCCTCAAGCAAATGCTACATGTCTTTGAGCTCTGAATTTCCCTTTTACGTTAGGAAGGGTGAGGGGGGTGCCTGGGCTACCGTGATCGTACATCTCTAGCCATCTAATTTCAAGCACTGCTTGGTTTTGCTTCTTGGGATGTTTGGTTGGTGACCTCTTTAGATCTGTAGAGTGTAGGCAAATGCGGTGACGCTTTGCTTAAAAGATGAAAGCATCTGGATCACACCCCAGTGAGAGAGGAATCAGGGTGGGGGGACCATGTCCATCTTGGAAGGCTGATGCTTTCTGAAACTGAATCCATGTCGAGGAATGAGGACTGTGCCTCATTCTATCACCACCATCCACTCAGCACGTATCATTAATAAAAGAATATGACCATTCCCCACTCCTCACCCCTACCCCTACCTAGCAGTATATGTCAAAGGTCATGCATCCATGAGGAAACACAAGATGGCAAACAGCAGGCAAGGAGAGATGGTGCAAACATCAGGGATGGGCTCAGGCAAGGAGAGACGGAGCGAACATCGGGGAGGTGACTTTGGAAATGGAGGGACAAGCCAAGGGAAAGCAGAGAGCTTAAGGGTGAAGTAGATAAAAAGAACAGATACCTACCCAGACCTGTGCTATCTAGCTACCGGCCTGCGGACTTATATTATCACCACTGGGCTCCCCACTGGGCTCCCCAAATGGATCACTGTTGGATGAGGCTTGTGATCCATCAGGCTAGAACACAAGAAGATAACACTTTTTTTTTTTTTTTGGTCTTTTCAACAATGGAAAGCAGAAGACAGCTGGGCATAATTTCATGCATACATATAATCAGTTATTTTAAAAGGAGGCAGCAACAGCAGTTGGAGGACGCCACACCCACCCATGCAGGGCGTGCTGAGCGACTCACGAAAGGACAACGTTTTTCAGCTGCTCATTTGATCATCAAAGAAAACGCCCCCTAGGGCCCCATTTAGAACCTGAGAGACTGAGCCAGCATTCTTTCCTATGCGGGTTTCCTGGGCCACTGTCCATTTCACATACAGCAGTTTTAATTTTAAGAAAAAGCAGACCCAGAAAGAACAGACCGGCCACTTACAGCTTCTTGCCCTTCGCTCTTGCTGGGACTTTCAAAGCCCTCTTCGAAGATGTCATCTGTGGTGGGATCGCTGGCATGGGATGCAGATGATTTGGATGGAGAGCTCTGTCGAGGGGCTGGGGTTGGGGCTACACAGAAACCAGGCACAAAGAGGGAACATCGTTAGGTTGTCTGGCTGCACCTGAGTACCTCCCACCGAGACCTCGGGGATCTGGTTATGATCAACTCAAGTCCGGCACTCTGCTTTCTATCCCGAACATCTCCCCTGTATATATTGATCTCGTCCTGTCAGACACTTGACGGGAAGGAGTGGGTGCACACGGTTGGGGCAGGTGGTGGTTCTCTAAGAATGGCCCTTGGATCGGCAGCACGAGTACCTCCGGGAACTTGTTACAGATGCCATCTTGGACCCCTGCCCCAGACTGACGAGCTCAGAAACTCTATTCGTATAAATATTTGAATAAACAGATCAGAGGATAGGGATGCACGTTTTGAACACCTTCAGTTGCCATCAGACATTTTATGGACGGTACCTCTGACCCGCATAAAGCCTCTTTGAGGTAAGAGTGATTTCAGTTTCACAGCTCAGGGAAGTGAGGTCGTGAAATTGCTCGAGGCCCTGAAGTTGGTGACTGGTTGAGGCAGGCCCCGTATCCTTACACATGGTAGGCATACGTTGAACACGTGTTGAATGAAGAGTGCCTCCGTGACGTAGGAAAATGGGAGGGAGCCGCTGGCAGCTTTATGCCTCACTCCATAAGGACATGAGTCTTCTGTCCTAGCCTTCCCACATGTTCCTCCTCTCATTTGGTCCAGAGGTTATAACAAATATGCCATTTGAAACTATTCTTCGTTCAATAATTTCTAATTTGGCTCTGAAAACGCCAGTCACTGGCTCAGCCCCAAGTGAGGAGGTGGTGAGGCTTGATTTAGTAGCTAAATTTCGAATGGCACTGATAAGGCCCCCTCCCCCGCCATCATTGCCCAGAATTTCCAAAATCTGGCTGCTTATCAGACAGCAAGTGATTATCAAACTTGGTAAGTACCTTTTGCCTTGATGGATCTATATTTAGAAGAACGATGCTATTTGCTCGGCATTTTGTATTCACTGCATTCTCTAATGCAAATATGGCAAAATGGTGTTGGACCTATTCTTTCCTGATGAAGAAACTGCATCTCTGAGAGGTGAAGGGGCTTTTTCAGGGCCAACAGAGCCATGGAACAGGTGTGCTGAGATTTAACAGAGCTCTGTCTACACTGTCCAGCCAGCTGTGAGTGCTATTTCTACTTGACATTGGCCTTTGCGCCACTCAAAACATTCTGAAGGTGACGCTCATGGATAAAAGGAAGTCTGTTTTGTTTTGTGAGATGATTATGGAACAGACTCATACTAGTGGGTTTAAGAGAGATAAGCAGTATGAGAACACCTCAGTGCCTGACAGCTGTTGAAGAAGTGTTAACGTAACAGGATTTCAAATTGGGTTTGAAGTGGCTTATTGTTTCCTGAAGGCTGAGAACCCGGGCTGAGCTGCCAATCTGAGAGAGGTTGTACTGGTCCTACCTATCAGATGAAATCAATCAGAAGTATAATTAGGGGTTCATTTATGTAAGTGTTTTAGCCTTTAGAAGTTTTTTCTAGGGTATCTGTATAATCTAAGAGTGGTTCTAAATTTGGGGCAGCTGAAATCCTAGGGGCGTGTGGCAAAATCTGGGGTAACTTTTGACTCTCAGGACAAGGGAGAGAGGATGTGTGCTTCTGGCATCTCATGGACAGGGGGCAGGTAGTTTGGTCAACATTCTACAAGTACAGTGGACACCCCACAACAAAGAATTATCTGGCCCCAAATATCAATAAAGCCCAGGTTGCGAAACCATGCTCTGAGACACGACAGTGGCTGAGGGGTCCTTGTTCTGTTCATTTCAATCTCTGTGACTTCTCCCAAATGTCTCCATGCACTAGATAGATGCTACGCTAGCATCATGAGAAGGGTATGAATGGTTTGGACCCATTTCCTGTCCTCAAGGAACTGAAACTTCCCCTTTATTTGCAGCTGGCATACAAGCCCATTGCAAGAGAGACACTTGTTTTCGAAAGATGCTTTCTTATTTATGCGTGGCTCTCATTCTCCCAGCATTTCATTTTTTATTCATTACTCTTCACTGAAACCCTGTGACTTAGAGCTAATAGAGATGCCTCCACTGTGGAGATCACATGGCCTGAGTGAGTGGGAGTAGCTCTTTTATACATGTAGAAGGCATTCCTTTTCAGAACTGCCTTCCGAACCTGGCTGAGATGACATTACCTAATTGTGTTAACATTAGATTTTTTTGACGATTCTTGCGATTGGCCAAGCAGTGAACCCTATCATCTGTGACAGTAATCAAAATGCCAAACTCATTGTTCCACGAGACTTTTCTCTTTCCTATCAAGCGTCAAGGCCCGAGCTGAATTACTGGACATCTTTCCAAGCATATGTGAACTCAAGTGTATCTGGGTTCTGATGGACTGTGTAGTTACGGTTTCTGGATGCTTGCAATGGAAAAGTGAGCTAGGACAGAATCACCGAATGCCTGAATTAGAAGGAGGCACACTGCCTGTCCAAGCCAAAGCAGGCCTTTTACCCATGACACAGCTGAGGTTAAGGAAAGTCACACATTTGCCCAAAGACGCTGCTTTATAGGAGAAGAGCCAAGGCTGGAATCCTGGTCCAGGAATTCTGCACAGCATCACTCAATATGCAATTATAATGGTGAAAACAATGTTTTAAAGTCAGTGAGGTACACAGTGTTTCATGTACCACTGAATCCTTTTATTATCCCTTAGCCTAAGATAGATGAGGAAACTGAGGCTCACAGCAGTGACTTGCCCACAGGCACAAGACTAGGAAGTGATAAATCTGTTCTCAGGGTTCGCGGTCTAGAGTTTTCTGCTTCCCTGCCATTTTTCCTCTTTGACTACCCAAAGCCTTGAGCCAAAATCTGGCTTCAGCTCCACAAATTGGGTGAGACCTTACGGCTGCTCTGTCTCTTCCCTACGTTTTCTACTCTAATTTTTTTGTCCTTGTTCCCCTGACTTTTGAAATTCATTTTCACCATTCATTTCCATTTCAATAACCCATACCAAAATCTGTGTTTCATAAAGGTGGGGTAATGAAAGAATGGGCAGATGGATGAGCAAATTAACAAAAACATAAGCAGCAGAGTGACTGGTAGAAAAATAACAGGTTTGTATTTAAATCTACTGCTTTCCTCGTCCTTGAACCTCACTTTCATTATTGGCCAAACAGGTCTAACAAAACTTGTAATAAGCATTATTACGAGTATAAAACAATAAAAACAATGTATACGAAGAAGATATGTATACTTTGTAGCTATTACTATTATTCGTAGTAACACAAACAAGGAAGCCTGCTGAATGTGAACTGAGATGAGTTCTCTGACTCCAAAAACAAGGCATCACTCTCAGTGGATGTATGTCTCCAAAGAAGGGCACTCACGTGAATTGGTTGATGGCGTGGTAGAAGTCACAGGGGTCAAATTCAACTGGGAGATGTCAAAATCATCACAGTCATCCGTATCCTGTGCCACCCCGACTTTGTTGAAGTAACTGGAGAAGGCCTCTGAGGTACAGGTGAGGGAGGGTTGGTCGGGTTTGCGGGAGGGCACGGGTGGAGGCTGGGCCATCTGGAAATCCTTAAACATTTCCTTCCCCATTTTCTGTCTGGGCTTCTCCGTCTGTGGACTTGACCTGGTGGAGTCACCCGTGGTTGGGACGGTTGCAAGGGGGGTGAGGGGACCTTGGAACATGGCGGCTGGCAAAGGCATAACAGTTTGTGTGGGCATGAAGGCGGCTGGCGGAAACTGCCCGGCCACAGTTGGCCAGGGCTGCTGAGTGGCAGGGAAGAGACCCGGCTGGCCCCATGCGATGGGCTGAGCCCCTGGCATCACCTGAGCGACTGGTGGCTGAGCACCCATGGCGATCTGCTGTTGGACGAGGGGCTGCTGGCCCCAGAAGGATGGGAGGACGGCGCCCATTGCAACATAACCTGGAAGGGTGAAAAATGAGAGTCAGGCACCTGGGAAAGAATTCATGGATTCAAGGGATCAGCAGAAAGATACTGAGCCACTATTACATGTCAGGCTCTGTGCTGCAGACCGTGGACAAGGATGAATAAGACAAAAGTCCCTGCTCTCATGGAGCATTCCTTCTAGAGCAATGGTCAACCTTTCAAAGGCGTTGATTTGTAGGCGGAAACTGGAATGTGGTGAGTGAGCAAGCCAGACATATATCTGAGAGATAATGATGACATTGCTACAATCATTAAAGGTTTCTGACCCCACTCAGGCGCAGGAGCTGGTGTGTCTCAGTGGAAAAGGCAGAGGACTAGGAGTCGGGCACACATGGGTTTGAATCCTGCCTCCACTTCTTGCCAGACTGATGGCATAAGTTCTCTAAAAGTCAGGCTCTTTGTTAGAAAGCCAGGTTGTAAGATCGTCATTTTAAACACTGAAGCTGTGTGCCAAAGGAAGAAGAATTAGGAGTGCTGGGGTTTTTGAGACCTAGGTTAACACTCAGACTGATGATTCATATCTCTGGAATTTAGGGAGAGCTCCACAAGCTCTCCCAAGCTCTGCCGCCTTATCTGTAAAATGGGCACAAAATACCATCTACCTCAGGGGCTTGGTTTAAAGGTAAACGGAGATGATGTATATGATGTGGAGTTTTGCACCTGACACAGAATGAGCATTCAGTAAATGTTAGCAGTTAGTGGGATTTGAATCAGAGAGAGCCCGGAAGGTACTTAATACCTTGCTTGGTACATAGCAGCCAAGCAATAAATGGTAGCTCCAGGTATTGTCATATGTTATTTCCGTATTGTTACTATGCCAATTTTAGGTGACTGTCCACTTACGCAGGAGCCCCTTGTACAGTGGCCTACATTGGGTACTGTGCAACTCAGGGGGTCTACTCACATCCGTTACCATGTTAATTGTTGGCGGTACTAATTCCTTTCAGGTGAGAATAAAATCATTTTTTTAGAAGAGCACAAGTTAACACTTTTCAGAGCAGAAACAGTAACACAATTTTTTCCACTTGCTACATGCCTCTAACTTCTAGGTTCAGTATTAGGTGTTTCACATCCTCAAAAATCCCTGCAGGGTAGGTATGACCATCCTCACTCCAGAGATAAGGAAAGTGGTGCCCAGAGAGGGACAGTGTGTGCTTGGGGTCACACAGCCAGCATGAAGGGGGATCAGGACCTGAACTGAGGTCACCTGTCCCCAGAGCTAGCATTCTTCCCTCCGCATGACACTGTCCCACCCCGATGGCCTACTTTGCACCGTAAGTACATCTGGTCTGGTCGCCCACCTCAGGTTGCAGCTAACTGTGGGCGGGCCCAGGGAAACTCCTAGGTGCCTCCAGTGACCCCTGCCCTTCTCAGAGGGTGCTGTGGCCACATGCCTGTGCAGTTGAGCCCAGGACACAGATGCCCAGGCCAGGCAGAGAAGAGTGGGAGAAGCTGGCTTGACCTGACTTCCCAAAACCAGCCTTTTCATGGCTGTCAGAAGGAGTTTGCAGGTGTACGGCAGTGAGGCCAGGGAAGGAAAGTGGGTGCAGAGTATCCTAGCAACTTCCAGGGGGAAGGCAGGCAGGCACTGTGGGGCTGATCGTGTCGTGGGTGATGTCAGGGACTCTGGAGAGCCCAGAGAAACCTCACTCATGAGGACTGCCTCACTCAGGCTCCAGCCTCAGATCCCCTGGCCCTCGACTGATGGCTAAGGAGTGGGGACAACATTCCACGTCCCGCCACTTCCTTGCGAGGTGACAGCGGGTTCCAGAGAAGCGGAGACAGGGCACCAGGGCTTCCTGCGGAAGAAGTCAGCAGTATGCCGGACATCTCGAACAGACCGTATCCTTCCGCGACCACGCAGCCCTAGTGCACCGAGTAGTGAAGACGCATTGGGGCTGGCGTTTCAGACGGGAGAGGGGCGTGCATTGCCTCTCACCTCACACGCCACATAATAAGGCAGTGTCTTGAGCCCACCAACAGACTCAGCACTCTGTAACTGCTTTTCTCATTTTCTGATTCGCTTTGATGGGGCCCAGTGGTTCTCAATGGAGGAGGGGGGCGGTGATCAGGACATTAGCGGGGCGTATTTTGGCTGTCAGGATAACTTGCTAGAGGGAGACACTACCCGCACTTAAGAGGCGGGTTATCCTATAATGTGTGAGACCAACATGCACAACAAAGAATTCCCCCATGTTCTGTCTATGATTTGAGTATGGGCAGGACGTTGAATTACCTAGAAATTCAAAGTTTCTTTGCACAGTTTGAGTGCACTTAGTTTTTCAGGACTGTAACAACTGTGTGCCTTGAGGGCAGACTGTATTTTATTTTTGTTTGGAACACGGCCAAGAGTTGTTCACCATTTGGGAATGTTGTGGTTCCCGACAGAAATACTTCCCATGGTGTTCGAACCGACACAGCGTTCCTGGGTCCGTCTGCACCTGCGGCGACTCTGAAGACAGGTCTACACATCTGACCACTTCGTAGGACCTCTAGTGCGGTTGCACCTGGGTATTTTCCTTATTGAAATCGGTGTCTTTTTATTATAAATGAGCTTTTATAAATTTCCTCCTGCATAATGATGGCATCGTATCGACTTCTAAAAAACTGTGAGTTAAGTTATATATCTATGAATTTCAGTTCAAGAATTTAAAGGAAACTTTATAAATATCTATCCTAAAAGGGGGGCACTGGGTCTGACGGGGTGGACACGGATCTTTTAATGACCTTAATCTATACACCCGTTTTGGTGGCGGGATGGAAGGTCTCAGCCTCCAGCCAGGCTATCTTTCACTCTGCTTCCACTCTGCCCCCTCGATGCCATCGCAGGACTGCTCCAAAATGCAAATAGAGTGCTTCACTGTCGGGGGTAAAAAGTCTAGATGCCCAAGCGCGGCTTCGGAGACTTCAGGGATCAGGCCCCTTCCCAGCTCTCCATGCCATTTTCCCTGGCACCTTTCCCTAGGGCAGCAGCCGCACACACAAACACCCCTCACACCGTCCCTCACTCTATCAATCTCTGCTCGTGCTTCTGCCTGGAAAGCCACCCCTACTTCACGTGGCTATGCCTTACGGACTCCCTGAAAATCAGCTCAGTGTCACCTCTGCCGGGCGCCTTCCCTGCCCTCTGGACTCCATTGGTTCTCCTTCTCTGGGCTTCTGCAGACCCCAGTGTTCATCTCTCCGATGGCACGTGTCACACTGAGTTGTAACTGTCCCGTTATTCTGTCTTCCCTATTAGACAAGCAACCACCTGCTAGTAGGAACGCTTTATTTTCTCATTCCCTGTCCTCTGTGTCTAGCGCCGTCTGGGACGCTACTCAGCTGCTCCATAAACGCCTGAGCCTGGAGGAAGTCTCTCTGTAAAGGTGAGTGAGTCATAGCAGAATCAATGCCTTCCCCGCACTTGGCCAAGTGAACAATTAAACTCCAAGATCGGTAAGTGCTGTGATCTCTGATAATTCTACTGTTGGTGGCAGGTTTTTCGTTCCTACTGTCTTTCTTTTCCCCCCACAAGGAACCAACAGATGGGCTGTGCACACTTTTCTGGAGAGAGCTATTAACATGTCTCCCTGGCTTCATGCCATCTGCTTCAGACCCAAGTACAATATCCAAAAGAAAAAAAAAAAGAAAAAAAAAAAGCACAGGGTAATTGGGTACATGTTTGGGACCTTGAAGGTCTCACTCGCTTTTTCCTTGCGGGTGGGGGTTCCTCTGCAGCCTGGGCCCTCCCCAGACCCGTGAGCTCAGGCTCTCCAGCCATGTGGCATTGGACATGCCTGATGGGACCCCTTGGTAGCCGCCTGCGGCGGAACTGGACAAGATAAGCCACTTGGTGGCTGCCACAGAAGCCACTTAGCAGCTTGATAACACTGACTCATTAATGTTCGACAGTGGAGGGAGGAGGTGCCACGGAGCATCTGTTTATGCAACGGAGTTCAGATCAATCATAAATCTCCTTGCTGCGAAGTGAAAGGGAACACCTGCATTACTGCCTCGCAGTTAGATCTCGAAGGAGACTTGGAAATTGCAGTTTATAACCAGATGCTTGCACCTGGGGATACCTTATTATCTGAATTTTAAAAAGTAGACTAAAATGTGAGAAAAACACTGACATTTAAGGGACTTCCCCAACACATATGCAGAATTTGTATGGTAATGCTTATTTACATGATCCCATCCATCCATCCATCCATTCATCCATCCATCCATCCATTCATTTGAAAAGAACCCTACTGGGTGTGAAGCACTGTTTCAGTCTCTGCAGATGCAGTGAAGAACAAAACATTAAAGAAAAAAAATCCCTTGCCCTTGTGGAGTTTACATGGATCCTCACAACGAGCCTCTGTGTAGTTGGTATCGGTATTTCTTTACTCTGTGTCTGAGATGCTGCAGCAGGCAGAGAGGACGGCTTGAGGCAGCGACCACAGGGCACAGTGCGGGGAGTGGGGAGAGCCAGTGCTCCTAATGGACAAGCTAGCAAACATCTGTTGACTGCTTACTTACAGAAACACCGCCAGGCACTGTTTTAAATGTTCCACTATGTGTATTAACTCATGCAGTCGTCAGACCAGCTCTACGCGGTGGAATGACCATCCCCATTTTACAGATAAGCTCCCTGAGGCTCAGAAGAGATTCAGCAGAGCGTGACACAGTTGGCTAGTGGCAGCGTCCGTATTTAATCACAGTACATTCTCTAAGCCCCCAGGCCAGCTCTGCCATGCACAAAAGAGGCCAAAGATCTAAACTTCATTACATGGGTGTTTTTCTAAATATTCCAGAAAGGTTAAAGGAAAAAAAATATAGGTCAGACAAGACATTTTCTTCTACTTTAAAAATAAGAGTCATGATAATAATAACAGTAACAACAAGAGCTGCCTTTGCTGATGGAAGCCTCTACGGGGTGCCAGCAAATTTCAAGGTGCTTCACTTTGTTTTCCCATTCAATTCTCACGATATTATTGCAAGGGAAGTATTATTTTCGATTCATTTATAAAGATTCAGAAACTCTGTGGGTGCCTAGGAGGCTCAGTGGGTTAAGCCTCTGCCTTCGACTCAGGTCATGATCTCAGGGTCCTGGAATCGAGCCCCGCATGGGGCTCTCTGCTCAGCAGGGAGCCGGCTCCCCGCCCCCCCCCCACCCTCTCTGCCTGCCTCTCTGCCTCCTTGTGATCTCTCTCTGTCAAGTAAATAAATAAAATCTTAAAAAAAAAAAAAAGATTCAGAAACTCTGGCTCTGGCGGGTTAAGTAATTTGCTCAGGAGTTTAAAATGTCCACAGACAAGCCCAGATTCAAACCCACTGCACTGGATGCAAAATCTCCCAGGGGTCCATCAGTACCGCTGTTCGTGTCCCTGGCTCTCCACCCCTGGCTGGACAACTGGGAACAGGTAGATGGCTCTTTAGTGTCTGCAGAGATTTTTAGAGCCTGTTCAAGGAGGAAAAGGCTGCTGGCTGACCACTCCCTGAAGTCCACTTTTGTTCCTCAGCCTAACTGATGCAGAAGCAGGCACTTGGCGAAGCAGAAATGTGTTCACTGAAATTAATTTTACACTTCCATTCTAAACACAGAGGTTGTGGAGGTAATCTACTGGTAATCTACCGATTTTTTTCTTTAGCAGCTGAAGAAACTGAATCTGGACACGAAGTGGCTTTTGTCCATAGTTTGCAACACAGCTGGTCAACTAGCAAGATTGAACCCAGGTCTTCAAGTCTTGATGTGACCCAGGCTCAGGAGAAGGCCCAGAGTGGTGGTGTGAGTGGCGTGGGCAGGTCCTTGGGTGCTTTTACTCACGTTAGGGCTGGGAGCCACGTGACTGTGTCACCCGCATTGACAGAGAAGGAGATGGAGACTCCTCACCTAGAGTACGCTTTACCTGGACACCTTCCTGGCTTCCTGCCTCACCCCTTCTCATCTGCTCACAGCTCACCTTGGCACGTGTCCCTCCTGACCACAATCTCCATTTACACTTGTCCTCCACCTGTGCCGAGGCCCCCGCACTCCACTCTGCATTTTCTTCTGGCCACACCACTTACCGTTTGTAGACATATTACAGAAATTCGTTACTTTTATGTTGTTGCCTGTCTCCCCAGTAGAAGGGAAGCTCTCTGAGGGCAGGCCCCGTGTCTGTTGTATTCATGGACCTAGAACAGGGCCCGACTCGTGTGGGCACTCAGTGAATACTTATGTAAGGAACATGTTGGCAAGCTGCCAAGTTTGGGGTCTCGAGTTCCCATGACCTGTCCCAGGACATCTTCACGGGTCAGATAATGAGGGCAAAGCATGGGTAGTCTCAAGGCAGGAAGGTGACACATTTCTGAAAGAAAACTTATTCTTCTTTATTTTTTTTTTAAGATTTTATTTATTTGGCAGAGAGAGATACAGCAAGAGAGGGAACACAAGCAGGGGGAGAGGGGGAGAGTGAGAAGCAGGCTCCCCACCGAGCAGGGAGCCTGATGCGGGCTCAATCCCAGGACCCTGGGATCATGACCTGAGCTGAAGGCAGACGCTTAATGACCGAGCCACCCAGGACCCCCTGGTATTTTTCTCTAAAAGACTGTATTCTATCACACTATTCTCAAGGAAATTTTAATATCCATCTTAGGTAAGAAAGACTAGTCATCACCACTGTCCCATTTTAGGGATGGGTAAAACAGATCTGGCTGGGAAGCTTAGCAATGAAATGTCTGGGTTTCTTGAAGATTCTAAAGTGTTAGAGCCAATGGCTACCGATCTCTGTTGCTTCTGAAAATTCTTAATGATCTCTGGGCTCGTGGGGAATAATTTTAACTACTTCAGAAGAGAGTACGAATTTTCACTTCACTTCAAATAACAGCAGGGTTCATATTTGGTGGCAAGAATTTGCTTCTAACATTATGTAATGAAAATTAATTTTTTATAGAAAAAAATGCCAGAAGATGTGTAATTGAAAATATTCAGGCTTGGGGCACCTGGATGACTCAATCGGTTAAGCGTTGGGGACTCCTAATTTCAGCTCAGGTCCTGATCTTGGGTGTTGTGAGACTGAGCCCTACGTCATCGGACACCACGCTCCGCAGACAGTCTGCTTGATGATTCTCCCTGTCCCTCTGCCCCCCTCCCTCTGCTTGCATGTGCACACTCTCTCTCCCTCAAATAAATACATACATAACACTGAAAAAAGAAAATATTCAGGCTCTCCTGGCTGTATATAAGAATAAGATAGAAAGATGAAGCCACAGATTTTCAAATATGTACTAAAGAAAGAGAACAGTCTTTAAGGCTCTCATGTATGTAAAGAGCAGAATACCACCTGTGGCCACATCCCAAGCAGAGTGGCCCGGCTATGTGGAGTGCCTGATGCCATGGAAACAAGTTATATGTGTTTACCCTGCTGTAAAAGTAGTATATATATTTTAACAGATGCTTGGAAAACAGAACAAAAACCTTCAAAATCACTAAGAGCCCCATCACCTTCCTAATTCACTCTTAGCAATCTGCTCTCTCCCCTTAGCATCCCACTTTGCACCGAGAACCTCCCCATTCTTGAGTCTCTACCAAAGGAGGCAGACACGTCCCATCAATCAGATCTCCAGAGGTCTGTGGAGGGCTCCTGTCCCCCACTTGCCATCCTCCCTTCCTCTGGCTGAGATGGACAGGAGGAAACGAACTTGTGTTGAATGTGGCATGGTCAGGTATGGCCTGGGCTCCCTGAAGCTGTGAACTGAGTGCCCTAGAATCTTGACCTTTCCAGGTGAAAGACGCCCAAATCCCAGCCTACAGCGTCCCACAGATTTGTAAACACTCTCCCACCTGCCAATGGTGGCTTCTCCATGTCACTGAAGAGTCACGAGGAGAGGCTGGTGGCTCCACAGGTGTCTGGTGTAACTGGACAGCTGGTTTAAGTCAACCCTTTCTCTCCCCTGGCGGGCGGAGACCGAAGGAAGGGAAGCAGGTGGAGGACAGCTTACCTGAGGGTACAGCAGCAGTGCCGAAAGGTACAGAACTAAACATGTCTGCACTCGCCGGGAGCGTCTGAGATGAAGACGGGATAAAGGCATCACCTGGAGTTGCAGGAGTCTGTCAGACAGAGAGAGGCAGAGGGCGTGTGAGGCTGCTGGGAGACCTGGCTCAGCACTCATTCAGGTTGGGAGGCAGCAGGTGCACGAAGTAAGGGGGATGTGCTGCCAAAGCCAGCCGCAGTCCAAGCCACAGATGTGGTGGGCAGCCCATGAGCTGGCTGTAGACACTGACCATAGAACAGGAGACATGATACCTACCTTTAGAGCAGCTGTGATCATAAAGGGAGATCATGCATTTATATCACTTAGTACCGGGCTGAGGCACGTTAGCAGGTGCTCAGCAAACAGGGACCAGTATCACGACTCTTCGGTTTGAGCCCCTGCCCCTTGGGGGTGTTATTCCAGCCATCAAATTATACCACGATATGTGGTTTTCAGCCTTTAGAGGTGGTCAGCTGAAATTGACACGCACCTGTGCAGGACCTACTGTGAGCCTAGCTCAGGGCTTGTCACGTAAGGTGTGGTAAATAAAGAGCCTGACTAAGTGCACCAACAAAGCTTAGCGACTAGAGCAGAGACCCTCGCCTCCTGGTGCCTCCCAGAATTCTGCCTGAATCTTTACGTGCAAAGAAAAAGAAATATTTTCAAGTAGATGATAAAAAAACCCGAAGCCTGAGGATCAGGGAATGTGACATGCCCAGCCCATGCTGGGATCTGAGAGGTCTATTGCAGGAACTGGCGGGTCAGGTGAGGGGTACCGAAATAAATCCGACAGACGGGAGGGATACTGAGGGGTATCCTTGATGCTCAACCCTGAGCATCAGTACTTGGGTTTGTAAAGGCCCACACCCATTCACAACAGGCTTTTGCCTACAAAGTATGTCTATTTGATGCCATAATATCCTTATTTTTCTTTTCCCCTTGGAATAGACTGGGGCAGGCAATTAATCCCGAAACCATGGCAATTAGACAAGGCCATTTTTAGACCAGCAGCCTGCGGGAGGAATGGCATTGTTCTGGGGTTTATTTAATACCCATTTGGACTGCCCTTGGGTTCAGGGCCAGAAACACAGCCGTGCGCTGCTGCATTAAGCACTTTTAAACACAATCGACGCGGATCTGTTTTCCCCATGTGACCCTGGGGGAGCCCCATGCCCCCTCTGGGCCTCAGTTTGCTCATCTGTAAAATGAAGGGGATGGGTCAGAAGGTCTCTTCAGGCCTTTCTAGCTCCACAGCTGGAGTTTCTCAGTGCCCAAGATGCAGCTGTCACCCCCGGGACAGAGGAGAGAAAGAGACTGGTTAGAGCCACCCCAGCTTCTCCGGAGACAGGAGCTGCTTTCTGCACAGTCAGATCTGCTCAGGACATCAGGTGTCTGGAGCAGGGCAGCTGTGTCTAGAGCCCCTGGTGGCAGCTGTGGGCAGTAAAGTCTCGTGCCATCTGTTACCAGGGGTGAGGTTCCAGCTTTTCCTCTGGGAGGCGCATCTCGCCAATGAACCCGAGCACCATCCCTAGGTCTGCAGGACCGCGCAAAGCCCAGAGGCGCTGCCCCCTTCCCAGCATCTTCTGCAGGTACAAGTGCAGCACCCTGCTCTCTATGCGTCCCCCAACTCCGGGGAATGGGCAGGGGAGGACCTGGAGGGACCACTTCCATTCTGTTCTTTTCTGTGGCCTTTGAATGCAACCAGTTCTCAAAGCACTGGGATTCAATTTTGCTTCGGGTTTCATTCTTTTTTCTTCTTTTCATTTTTCAGCTAGGGTTCCCCGCAATCTCTGTTCCTCTGCAAGCAGTGACTTACAACGACAAGCAATGGGATAGATACCCCAGCTGCAACGCCACCTGGGAATCCAAAGCTTCAGGAGAAGCTCAGCTCAGCTGGGTGGCGGGGGGCAGGGGAGGAAGGAGGAGATAAAATGAAGGGGAGAGAGGACGGAAGGAAGGCAGGAGGCGGGACAAGGCAGAAGATACTGGGGGAGAAGGTGCTTCCTTTCCTGGGATGAACACCTGGCTGGGTGGGCTCTGGGTGGGGACCGACAAATGGCCCACCATACCTGTGGTCTTGTTGAATTTCTTGCCCATATTCCCAACTGGACCATGTGGTCCTTGCAAGCAAGGACCTCATCCCGTTTAGGTCTTTCTGCCCTGCCCAGCAGAAAAGCAAGTACCCCGTGGGGTCCTCTAACTGCTGATGCATGGTTTCACTTACTTCTCGAAACAGAAGCAGGTATCATAATTCCTTTAAAAAGCAGCAGAGGAAACCGAGGTTTAGGATAGCCGGTTAATTTGCCCAAATCACGCAGCTTGCAAGAGGCCGAGGTGAGACCCACCAGCAGCCCTCTTTGGCCCAAAGCCCACGTTCTTGTCACCATGCTGCTGGAGAAGGAAAGGGGCAGGACGGAGGGCTGAGCTGCAGTGCATACTTACGGGGGGAGAGGTTATATCAGGAGGGGTGGACATGTCCCCAAAAAGTTCTAATTGGGTCACAGCCTGAAAAGACAAAAAGAGAGTGATGTCACCACAAGAGAAGTCGAGGCTGTTGGGCACTGCTTTAAAACCGTATGACATGAGGACCCCTGTTCCTTTGTCATCATGACTGTATACACAATAAGCCCAGCTGGTCATTGCCATTACCTCCTGATGCTAAAGACAACACCTGGGAGGCAGCCAGAATCAATTCTTGCTTCGGTGTGTCTGGCAGCATATCTGGGCTTAGTTAAGGAAATTTGGGCTTATCCACCTCCCATAACCCATCACCCTGCTTCGCGCTGACTCGCCATCAAGGGCAGCATACTCTCTCTTCTCCAGGAGATAAAGGCAAGAGGGCGATTCCCTCACTGCTTTCCTTCTCTGCGTGCACACACATGTACAAAGTGCCTTCCACGTGCCAGATACAGTGAGATGTGACACTTCGTAGCCACTTCTCACAGCAAATGCTCCCAAGACCATGAACCTGTGAGAAAAGGATCATCATCCCCATTTTTACAGATGAACCAACTGAGTCTCACAGAAGTGACCACAAAGTCACCCAGGCCAGGACTGGAATGTTCCACCTACGGAGCAATGTAGTCAAATGACAGTCTCTGAAAGAGTCAGTCTTCAGGATAAAAAATATCATTGGAGGAAAAGAAAACATATCATTTAATACCAAGAAAGGCATCAAAAACAGCCCAGTATATACACTATTAATCACTGCTAGGAACTTCACCACTGCAGACACTGTATCCTCTCTATCCCCATCCATCATACAGGACTGTCTGAGGAAGGCCAGCCAGAGCAGCAGAAGAAAGTCTTTAAGATATACTTAGAAATTAATCTGCATACACTTTGAGCTTCAGAGACCGCAGGGAGTCTATGGCTAGGAACCAAATGGCCTGCCTTAAATACATGATCATATGCTTTGTATGAAATCTGCCCACTGGGGAGAAAACTCTTTTGTCTCACCTCTGGATTTTAAGTGACAGCTTGTGATTGGGGGACCCTAAAAATATTAATCAATTTAAAGGACTGAAAAAGTCTGCCTGCCTGCCCTCCAGGGACCCCTGCCCCTGAATTCTACAGTAACCAGGCATGGCTAGATCGCTACACTTAGTGCCAAAAAAGGATTATGCTCTCCTTCTGATGAGTGAGCGAGTTACGGGCGCTGGAGAAGGTCCCACACCTGTTGATAGATTCAGCCCCAACCTCTGCAACTCCCTGGGGCTACAGTTCCCTCACCTGGACAGTAAAAATGATAATACCTCCTTCAGATTTATTGACAATATTCATAACAGCACTTCTTTTGAAGTTTGTCTACGCCTGGTTAAAAAGGCACAAAAGGCTCTTTTTGCTGAAAGAAGTTTAGCTTGGTTAATGAACTTTAAACTCTTCCCCCTCAGCTTTCAGACTGAGTAACGTGGTGCTGGGCACACAGGAGGGCCCTACACACATATTAATTTCCTTCCCAACTACACAATGCTTTTTCCATACACACAGAACACCTGGGAGGTGTTCCGGGTGAACAGAATACTGAGACAGGCCAAGCCCCAGCCTGCCGGGAGCTTGTAGGCTGGTGGAATGATCCACAGAAGTTGGCAGTTTCAAGGCAATGTGGCGGGGATGGCAACAGAGGTCTCTGTGGGAGGACAGAGAAAGGGAGTCTGCCAGCTTTTGGCAAAGAAACTTAAGGAGGGTTTTATTTATTTATTTTTTAAAGGTGTTACTCATTTATTAGAGAGAAAGAGAGAGTAGGAGAGAGAGAGAGCAGGAGCAGAGGGAGAGGGAGAAGCAGGCTCCCCGTTGAGCAGAGAGCCCAATGTGGGGCTCGATTCCAGGACCCTGGGATCATGACCCAAGCGAAAGGCAGATGCTTAACTGACTAAGCCACCCAGGCGCCCCTTAAGGAGTGTTTGCTAAAGGAGAACAGACCTGATCTGAATTCTGAAGATGAAAAGGAGTTAGCCGGGCAAACAAGAAGAGGAAGGACAATCCAGTCTGGTGCAAGCCAGGACATAGCAGAAAGGAGAGAGGCCTGAAGAGTTGAGCAGGTGCGCAGAAGAGCAATTTGTAACAAGTATGAAGGTGGGGGGGAGCAGGAGGAGGCCAGCAAAGTGGACAGGGTGAGTTCTCAGTGGTACCAGACTTGGCTAGACTCTAGATCCTCTCTTGTCTTAGGGAAAGAGTCTTGACCATGTTTACAACATTTTATGTTATTTGGTGAAACTATGGCAATCCTTATGCTCTCTCTTCCTGATTACTATTAAGGAATACTTCTATTGAATCAATTAACGTGAAGCTTCTAGGCTTCCTTGCAATTGGGACTCAATGCTTTTAAAATGGCCTACAACTATTTTCAGAGGTAGGAAAATAATAAAATGAAGTTAATAATTAAGTCACACAATTTACATTTCAAATGTATTGAACTTGTGTCACTTTTACTAACATCATAAATATAATTTATTGGCTAATTTTCTCCTTAAGCACAACTTTTAAAATAACCTTCATTTTTGAGATATAGACTTTCCTCTTGCCAGATGATTTTCAGTGAAGGATTAAACGAGAAAAACATGCAGAGGCAGAAAACATAGATTGTTATTTCATTCCATTGGATTTGCTGTTTAAATAGAAACTAGAGTTAATTAAATTTTATAGAAAAGGGGGATTCTTAGGCCATAAAATTAAAAATAATTCTAATAAGCATTTATGTTTGAGAATCTGGAATAATATCTATGTTCACACCACTCCCCCCACCATGTTAGCCCTAGTGCTTTCATTTGTAACCCAACGAACTATGTTCCATCTGATAATACTGTTGTAATTAATCACTTTAATGGCCTCAAGAGAATTAAAAGTAACCATTCACATTTGTAAAACATTTTTATAGTTTGTAATACATTTTCCAATACATTATCATCATGTCTGATGCTCACTGAGCTCACTGGTGGCATAGCTGTCTCTCGAGCTTTCCTTCGCACGGTGAGCAGAGACCAAGAGGTGACACGACTTTCCGATGGCTGGTGGGCCAGAAGAAGCTGGGCTTGACCCAAAGGCCAAACAACACCTCATTTATCTATCCCTACACAAGCCCTAGTTAGCCTTCCTAGATGGTGGGTGTGTGGCTACCATATTCTCTAACCAGAAGCTAGGTTTCCTAAAGGGTCTGCTGTAATGGACATCCATCTGAAGAACTCAACTGGAAGGTAGGTTCAAGGTACCTATTGGCCTTTCCATTACCAGCTCTTCAGATGTCTGCAGGTAGTGATGAGGCTGCTGATGGCAGATTCTGCCTGCTTCAGGCCCTGGGCATCTCCCAGGGTAAGCAGAGGGATACTGGAAGCTGCCCCATCCAGTAAAGGGGAGAAGGATAGCTTGGCTGTTGAGGAAGAAAGCCCTCAATCTCTCCCTCGGGCCAAACCTTTCACAGCCACTTTTTGACATGAACCAGTGATAGTTTTCGAATAATATTTAGAGTACTGTGCCACTGCTGTTTTGAGATTAGTACCCTGGTCCTTCTTTCAACTAAATGGCTGCAGGTGGACTCTGAGGCCCCCTCCTGCAGAGAAATCCTAAAAGTGCCACAGATGAAGACAGAGATGTCCTTGGGCCTGTCACAGGCCCACTCCTTACGTTTTGGCATCAGGAGCTCCTTCGTGTAGGAAAAGTATGGGAACCCTAGCGTGCATCAGCTGTTGTACCAAGAACAGGGGACAAGAACCTGTTCCTGTTCCTACTCTCATGGGCTGGCTGCTTGATGGAAAGTCAGACTCGTCAACAGGATCAAGGCAGCGTAATGGAGAAGACAGACACAGGGTTACAACAGGAAGGACCATCTCAGGGCCTTTGCACATGTTCCTCCTCCTACTGAGAACATTTATTCCTTCCCCAGTTGCCTTTCCTACCCATCCTTCAGGACAGAAATTAGAGGACTTTTTTTTTTTCTTTCTTTCTCTAAGTGTTTCCTAACTCAGTTTGCACCCCATGGCACTGTCCAGAACAGCTTATAGGATACTCAGATCAGCAGTTCTCAACCTTGGATGTACCTATGGGAAAAGACTAATGTCTGCTTTCCACTCCTAGAGACTCTGAATGAGTCGGTTTGAAAGTATAGCCTAGTACCTGCGACTTTAAAAGCTCTCCTGGTGATGCTGATTTGCAGCCAAGGTCGAGGACCCCTGTCCTAGACCCAACACCCTCCCATCGGAGGTGATACTATTCACTGGTCTGTGTATCGACCGATCTGAATAAACACTGGCTGTCATCCAGTACATCTGGTCCGGGGTATACCGACCACATGGCCACCTTGCTTGGTTTTTCTTCACTTATGAGCACCCAGCACATTCTGCTTATGCGCCCAAAACCCCGGGGTACTATCATATTACACTACGGTAGACTAACCTACCTCATCTTTCCCATGCTGTGCACTGCTGCATGGGGACACTGTAAGCCCCTTGAGGACAGTGCCTGTGTCCTCCTGCTCTACCGAATGTCTAGCAGCTATCAGAATGCCTGGGACATGTTGGGAGCTTGAAAAAATATTTGTTGAATGTCACGAGGTCAGTTCCTCTCCAATATACAATCTCAACACAAACACACGTGTACTCAGACACACATCCTCTCTGACCTCACCACGGGGCTCACCAATAATCCGCCCATGAACATTAGACTAGATGCCCATGAGAACAGAGCTGGCACCTGCCATTCGTGCAGTCTGGATGTGAAGAACATGGAATGCATGAGAATGACCATAGTGATCCTCATTCACCAAGAGCCTGGAGGCCTTACCTTCACTGCCTCCAAAATCTCCTCAAAGTCCATCGGCAGGTTTCTGTTCTGTAACCACAAGGCATGACTCATGAGCGTGAAATGAACAATGGGATAATGACCAGGAAGAGTTAACCAGAAAGGGCCCTCTCGTTCTTACCGGGGTGGCGGCGGCAAACCGTTCTTCAAAATCCTCAAATGGGTGACCGTTCTGAAAGTGTAAGGGATGATGAATGAGGATGAAGAGTCGG